CCATACACACACACACTACACCCTCTGCTTTAACAAGCCTTGATTCTCACTTAATGGTAGCTAGGAGAGCGGATGAGAGCTGCATTATGACTTCAACTCTTTGCGATTAACGTTGTGGTTGTAAATTGAGTATTACCTCTATAGGAAGAACATAACAGAGCAATACAAAATTTGACATTAGCTCATTAACCTTTAACAGATTTACAGACTATAAAATAATTTTTTTTGTTCTGATAATATCACAGTAATGTTGTTCTGACAATATAATTACAAGAACTTTGGTTTCAGTGCATCTGGCGCTGCAAAATCAAAATTTAGACTCAAAGAATGTATTTAACTTCTCCCTCCATAACCATTGGGGGGGGGGGGGGTATTGAAAATGTGTATTGAAAAGGAGCTTCTGGATTTTGGAACTATAGTTTGTTCAAAAAATTGGCTGGTCCTAAACAACTGGATTGATGAGCCACAAAAACACTTTGTAGCCAGGGAACCTGTTAATTTGAACTTAAATGTCTCATAGTGTACATATTTTTGAGAGTAGTGTTCATAATTTATGACCCTGCTCAGATCCAAATAGTATGAATATTGAGAAAGTATGCAAGGAACTGGAATGCAAAATATCAATGATAAAAATAAAGCTTCAAAATTATTATATTGTTTTTAACACCGGGTACAAGTGTTTTATGAATTTTCATCTATGCTTTTCACGAGTCATTTATATTAGAATGTATGCTATAAATTAGCTTTTCTTAAATAGCTATATTTTGCTAGTGCCTTTTATAGTCTGGTTTTTGTTCTCTTTTCTAATTCATGCTAATAGTCAAAAGACGGTTAGCGTTTTAGATTTGGTCATGTATATTCTGCATGTGTGTCTGTCCTAGGATAATATTCCCTGAGTGAAGAAGAAACATAATGCTTATGAGCTACATTTCCATATGTACTTCCTATACATAATCATCATTCTTGCTTGTGGTCAAGGTCATGCAACTTTACTTTTATAAGGTAATGAAATAAGTGTGTTATTTACTTAGAAACCTATATAGAGAAATAAGAGACATGATTAAAACTGCAAGTAATACAATTGGCAATTGTATTAGAACTAAATAATACAAAATCTTGTTTGGATTTCCTCATATTAGAACAAATTTATTTACTTAAAGAAATCGAAGTTGAAAAGGGGGATATTTCAGCAACTTCTGGAAAAAATGCAGGGAATAATTCAAAAGTAGAAATAGAAATAATATGGCTTGGCTTTAGCTACAGGAAATGTTTGGAGGTGGCTATTTATGTGAAATGTAGTGTTTTAAAATACAAAGTGAAATTTCAGACTTTTACATGACATTTACTATTTATTCTGAATCTGTAAACAGGTACAGTTAATGCTCAGTATTCATGGATTTCATATTTGTGAATTTACCTCCTTGTTAAAATTTACTTGTAACCATAAAATCATGTGGCACTTTCACAGATATGCAAACTGACTTGAGTCACCCACATTTTTGTTCCCAGCTGAGGTTCCAATATTTGCTAATTTGGTATTCAGGTCAACTATATAGAACATGATCACTGAAATTAATGAAAATTGACTATATAAATACTTAGCATGCTTTCAAATTTGCAGAAATTTTCTTTGGACATGTTGGATTAATTATCAGCTTCTGTTTACTTAGGGATTCACTGAGATTTATAATTTGACCAGAGCACATTCAAACTTTTCCTAAAACTATATATCATGTTTTATATTTTTGAAATTGGCTTTTTAACCAACTTCATAGTGCTTTATAAATAATTTGTAAAATAATAAGAAAAGTCATATTTACATTTAAAGTAGTTTAAAATTATGGGAGAGAGAATAATTGATTTACATTTTAACACATACAGAAACACAGTAGGAGAACCAAGACACTGCTACTAAGAATTATTCAAAAGTCTGTCTTGGCAGATATCGCTGTACAAAAGTGTAGTGAAATGCTATTAGCATTCTGTGCAGTAGATATTAGCAAGCAACTCATATGATTATGAACGATCACACTGACTGCTAAAGGCTATTAATATTGCAGATATTAATATTGTCTAAACTATTTCTTTCAAATTAGTTCTAACCAGCAAAAGTTACTAAGACACAGCTAATCTCTCTTTGTGAGGGAAATGGGTAGTCAAAATGTGATAAATAAAAATAATTCTCTTATTTGAATTATAACAGTAACAAATAGAGAATATAATTTCTGTATCTTCAAACCAATACTCATCCATACTCATGTTATGAACAATTATTTTAATATTCTTTAAATATTATTTCCATTTTTTTAAAGCTTGGATTTTCTGCCAGATGTGCATGATTTGAAAAGAACTACAAGAATGAATTTTAGCAAACTGAGCCATGGAAATACATAGCTTATGTACTTCTAAATAGCTTTATTTGTGGCCCCGTAACATTTCCATGGGTAGTTTTAACTGTGCCTAATTACATTCAGATTATACTCGAATAGCTTATTCACTGAACAGTATAAATATATGGACATATTTAATTAGCAGAAATAATATAATATTACCTCTAAAGAAGAATATTTGTAGCTCAGGATTGAAATGAGGGGTCCTTGATGCTCTCTGAGCTTGATTTTTTTCCTTACAGATGTTTCATTATCCAAACTAGGTAACATCATCAGTACTAGCACTAAACATAATGATTTTGAATAAAAATAAAATGTAAATATAAGTTTAACTCAAAAATTATTTTCTTAGAGATTCTTTGTACTTTGGGAAATTTTTTATAAAATACTATATTTTCCTCTATGCAAGGAAAATAATTATAGGTAGATGAGAAATCTTCCTTAAAATTCCTGACTTGTTTGGGTGACATACCACCTGCCCAACCAAGTGCATAATTCTTTCCAAACGAAGTACAGATCTTTCAGAGAGGCATAAAATGGTTGTGATAGAAGGAAGGCCTTCATAGTCTAGTTTTATTTAATTATCTTGATTTCTTTATGTTTTTAATTGTTTCAACTTTGCAGTAGATTTTATAAGCGGATCAGGATCTAATGGAATGGAATGCCATAGCTAATTTAACTAGGTATATAATTTTACAAATTGCCCGTGGTCTTATGAATTAGACAGCCATAACAATTTCAAATAAATAACCCTCTCTACATATAAAATCAGATATAAAACCTGATTCTTTCAGGGAATCTAAGACAGAGCTACTGTTTGTTAATAACTAGGGCAATCAAATACCACTGGTCCCAGGGATGAAAGCTCATGGGTTGTAGCAGCAATGAATTAAAAATGGGAGACCCAAGTTCTAGTACACTCCTTTTCGGAATAGTTATCCTACTAGGATAAAACTTAAAGACTCCCATGGGATATTGAAATGAATATAAAGTTGGCATAAATGGAATTTTTTGTAGCTGACAAGAATGCTGCAGGTTTTTTTGTTTTTTGTTTTTTCAAAAAAAGGGCCGCTGACATCTTTAGGTTTGATCTGTTCTTAACTGTCTTGATTATGAATTGCATTTATGAATTGTATGGTATTACTGATGAGTAGATGGAGCATTTCAACTAATATTACTTTTCCGATTGACATATAATGAATCAATATCATAACCATGATTAAACATGGGATCATTACTGCAGAGCATTTGAAAGCTTGAAGTGCTGCAGAGTGCAACCAAGTTTAAATGGCACTAGTTACTCGGTGCACTTTAGCAGTGTACTTCTGAAGGCAATTCAAGGTAATGGTTTAAAGCTCTTCATGACTTAGGGCTGGGTTTACCTGAAGGACCATCCTTGGCAGGATAGACATGCTTCAGATTCCATCAGCTAAGGATGCTGATCGGTGGGGCTCAGAAGGTGTGTCTTTTCTGCTATAGAGCCTTCCCCACCAAATATTCTTCCTCTGGATATTAGGAGGAACTCAACCTTAGTGGCCTTTTATAAGGCTCAGTAGATCTGGTTCTCAGGCGTGGGTACATGAAAGGATCCATATCCTGGATATATTAGTTTGTGTTTCCTATGTAATTTCTCTGGTTGCTATGGTTTTTAGTTTTTGTATTTATTATTACTGGATACTTATTTTTCTAGAAAATTTTAAATTTTTGCCTAGAAAATATATAACATAAAGTCTTTGTCCGATGAAGCACAATTGTTAGTGGCTTCACAAACTTATTCATTTAGTTTTCATGGCAACATGAGAGATTTGCTATTGAATTCTTTTGTCCTTTTTAAAAATTTACTCTTGAATGTCTTGACATTTTTTTAATGTTCTCCCATCCAAGTACAGTTATTACTGAGTCAATTTATTTTCAGCTTTTCAAGATCAGCCAACTTTAGCCAAGGGCTGCTACCTAGTTTAGAAAAATATATATAATAATGTTCTGACTTAATTAGGATATCCTTGATTCCTTTTATTTTATGAATAATAGTAATTATTCTCACTCCTAAGCATTACTAGAGATTGACAATGCATTGTGTGCAGTCATATATGGCTGCTTGGAATGTCAGTAGTTTCATAACTCTATGCTCAGAAGTAAAGACTAGTTGAGTTAATTGAAGCTTCCTTGGAATAGATTTCCAAGCATGGGAACATGCTCTATTAACACAAAAAGATTTATAGCAGGACCGAAAAGAAAAGCAGTGATAAATATTATTGTAGGTGTTGGTTGCTCATGTTAATCAGATCAGAAATGTGTACTTATGGAGGATTGGACAGACAAAAACATCAGCTCTGTAGACTTTTCTTTCTCTACATTCTAATCACTATTTCATTATACCATTGAAAGTCAGGTAACTTTCCAAGTTAGAATGACATAATTAATGTTTTGGCATTTGGAAAATACTGTCTATCCAGACAGGAGAGCAGGGAAAATAGCAACTCTAAATATATCCACACGTTGATGTTCTATAGGTTTATTTATCCAAATATTAGTTTGTAAAAATAATGAAAAAAATTACTGCGTATACTAATGCTACTTAATTGAAATTTCTTATATATGTACAAACAGGAAACCTCGACCTGTCTCTCAGTTGGTTGCACAACAGGTTACCCAGCAATTTGTGTCCCCTACACAATCAAAAAAAGAAAAAAAAGACAAAGTAGAAAAAGAAAAAAGTGAAAAAGAAACTACTACCAAAAAGAACAGTCATAAGAAAACCAGGTAAAATTTATGCTTGTTTGGGGTTGTTCAAAATGCATAAATAAATATTAAATCTTCATCTTCTTGTAAAATTATTAGAAAATGGTAATAAAAGCCAAATATGTTGATCAAACACAGAAAATAAATAAAATGTGTGAAATAAAAAAGGAGATCTGTAAACTTTCCTGTATAGTCTATCCCTGTGGTTTTAAAACTCTGTATGTTACACAGGGACACTGCAAGATATTTTATATGTTGAGGTAAAACACAGTACTCAAGGTCTATCAAATACTGCAGAAACTGCTACCTAGAAGTGGGTCAGGGTTCTGGTCCTAGAGGTGTCATGAAAACTCCTGAGACATTTAAGTGCTCCGTGAACCAAAAATCTGGGAACCTATGGATTATACTAAATAAAACTATATTTATGCCTGTCTGAAACTCATTATATATTTACGTGTGTAAATGTTGGTAAATATTCCACAGTAATTATAAAAACAACATTTGATGTGTATCTCATCCCCTTTCTCATGGCTTCACAAAGTGAACTAAGCTATGAACCAATGTGAGTTAACCGTAGCACAATACACATATAAATTCCATTACAAGCCATTATATAACCTCATTCTCAGTTTGTTCCAGAGTACATTTTTGCTACTAAGTGTGCTTGCATGAGTAACATAAATTATGTTTCAGGTCCTCCCATTTTCCAAATACATTTTAATTAAAATGCTCTTAATTTTTTGCTACTTGAATAACTGGATTTGCCTCATGCCATGCCATGCAGACTCCTTGTACCTTCAATAATATAGGCAAGGGACTGTGTCCATTATTAAATTTAAATTTGGGGGATGAATTAAGGAAATTATTTATAAAAGGTAACTATGTCTTTAGTAAAGATTACATAATTTTTATTAGATTTAATATGTTTAGTTGATTGCCATTATTATTATTTCACAAGATTTTCTTGTAAATAAGCTTTCAGTATTTTCAGTCTCCTAGATATCTCTAAACCCCATTAATAGCGTGCAATAAGAAGCTTTTTTCCTTTTTTCTCCTAATGTAAAATTCAGAAGCATTAACTGAAACAAAATACTTCTTTAAGAATGCAGAAGTATTGCTGCAAAATTACTGGAGAAATTAGATACATTTATAGAGGATACCCATATCAGTGGTTATACAATGAGTCATTTTAAATATAACATATTGGGATTTATTAAGATAAACATGTACAATGACTATTCACCCTTATGTTATGCCTATTATTTTCTTTTTCTTAATGCTTATGTACTTTGTGCTGAAATTACGTTTAATACATTTAAAAATGAAATCAGCAAGCTGCAGTTTTCAAGTTTGGAATATACAAATGAACATATGACATCATCCTACAGATTCAATTAAATGTCTGAAGTGGATAGCCCGTAGTGTTTTTGTTTGGCTAAAATAAAAACTGATTAATTAATCTAGGATTTTCTTTAGCACAATGAAAAAAGCAAAAATTGCCAAATCAAAATAGTGAAACATCAATGAGGGCATGAACCTCTCTGAGAACTTACATTAATAATTATATTATACTGAACAATGTTTTTATGGAATTTACAGACTCAATGATAATGTATCCTTTTTGTGAACAATAGCACTGGATATTCATGTCTTATCATGCTTTGTAATTGGATATTTGCTGTATGAAGGATTATAACAATTTTTACATGATCTCAAATGGGATGCTGACCAGATGTTTTAGTCTTAATTTCCCTTAATTCCATATAACACAGAAATTTCCACAATGGATAGGAATGAAAATCTGTTGATAACTTCTTGAAGAGCAGATGGACCACTACCTTTTTCAGTATAGACAGAACCGTTCAATCAAGGATTACAGATTGCTTCTACTTACAACCACAATTGGACCCGGAATCTTAATCATTGAGTAAAGTAGTTAAGTGAGACACTATGTAACTGTTTCACTCAACAACTATAGCCCCAGCTCTTCTAGTTGTGCTTGTAAAGCAGAGATTATACATTGCCACTTTGAACAGGGACGCAGGTCTGCCAGGCTTGGTGGGTTGGAGAGCGGGCATTGACTCCCACACCATCCAGGAAGCTTGGTCCCTTTCCTCCTACCACCAGAGAGAATGGTTATGAGAAGGATGACACACCTAGCGTTTCCCCCAGATTTGGTGTTTATTTCTCTAGTACCCCAAGGAATGTCCTCCGTACAATGGAGGTATGGGCCTCAAAACTGGTGAAAACACGAGTAAACACCTTTGTTCTGTAAAGGCTCAGAACTCTGGATGTTTTTAGCAGCAAATTGCTCTCCAAGCTTGTTTCAATTTAGTTTCTGAACGTTTCGTTACCAGAAACGTAGGTAATATCAGCAGCAGGATTTTCTTGTCCTATTGTCCTTAGCTTATAAATACCTTGTGTGCCAGTGTGGTCGGTTGGTCATTTGATTGGTTGTTTGTTTGGAGCTATATTTAAATGCTGAGCAGCTGATTGGTTCTCCTATGGATTGGCTGTTCAAATGGTCCGGTTTCTTACACACTCATAGGGTGGATCTAAATCAGGGATGTCAAACCGGCAGCCTGCAGGCCAGACGCGCCACATTCAGGTCATGCCCCCACCCTAGCTCTGTGAAGGGGAAAAACATCACGAAACATCACATGACAGCAACAGGACGCCGCAAGTTTGACACCCGTGAACTAGATCAATGTGCTTGTTAATTCTTTTGCTTTTCCCATGACTCAGAAGCCAGAAACATCAGTGCAGCACTGTATGAAAGATGCAAGGGTCTGTCAGGAGTCCAAGAACTCACACACACACTAATTACAAGCAACAGATCACAGGTGAGGATAGTTACCTTTAATAGCCATTCAAGCCCCTTTGTGCCAGCCTGTGTGCATGTTATCAGGCTCAAATCACCAGGGTATATAAACTTTTGATCAGGGTCATTTGGGTAGTTTTTGTTGTCATTATGATTTCAAAAGAGTAAACACAGTTGATTGATAATAAATGGCTTCAGCCAACCACTAACCATGAGTGAAAGAAATTTTTTTGTGTTATCATTCGTATTCTCTGAAAAATGGCCAAGAAATCGTACATTCTGCCAGGATATATAAACTTAAACTTTAGTTGATGTTCATTGAACCCTTGTTATCAATTGCCTTCCTGTTTGTCCTACTTAGAATTGATAACAATCGTTACAATTGATTTTGTATACCGTGTTGCTGTAGTCTTCTGTCTGTATTTTGTCTTTTTGACTTTAGATAGCTCTTTTCTGAGTATAAATGTGGGTTTGTGAACTATCATTATTCCTAGGGCTTGCAGTATTCCAACAGCCATTTCGGGTGTTCCTTTGATGTATGGCACAACCTGTTTTTGTGTTGTGGTTGGCTGTGTATTTTGTTGGGGTTTGGATGACAAGGATTGCATTATGAATTTTTTTTGATAGCCATTGTGGAGGAAAGCATTGAAAAGGTGTTTTTCTTCTGCTTCTCTTAATGACTCAGTGCAGCAGTGTACTTTGGCTCTTTTGAAAAACTTCTGGATGCAGTTGGGTGGTTGTTTGTGAAATTTAGAATTCGGTCTGTGTGCATGGATTTTCGGAATATGCAGGTTATTAATTTGCTGTTACCTTGTCTCTTTATTTCAATATTTAAAAAGTTGTTCTTTTTCTTCCTCACGTATAAAACCGATCCCAATGAATTCATTGTTGAGCAGATGGTTTCTTCTAGTATGTTGTATTTGATGATGGCAAAAGTGTTGTTCCTGTAACGTATCCAAAATTTTGGCTGGATGATTGGCAGGACTATGCGTTCAAGTTTCTGCATTACTGCTTCTGCTATTAGGCAGATATAAGTCAGGAGTGTCAAACTCATGTTGTCACGGCATCATGTGACTTATCAGTACTTTTTTCCCCTTCGCTAAACCAGGTGTGGGCGTGGCTAGCACATGATGCATCCGGCCATGAGTTTTACAGCCCTGATATAGGTGATCCCATAGGCGTGCCTTGTATTTGTTGATAGATTTTGCCATTGAATTTGAAGGGTGTTATGAGACATAAATCCAGATGTTTCATGATAGTATTGATGGACATGGAGTATTCTTTAGGTATCTTTTTGTTATATCTTTTTGATTTTATGTGGGTAGATCACAGATGGTTTGTTTGGCCAGGTCAGTGTTGATAGATGTGAATAATGCAGTCACGTCAAATGCAGTCACCATTATTTCTTATTCATTTATTTTGATTTTTAATTAATTGAAGGAATTGCTGAGGCGAGTTTATAGAATAAGCAGAATTGTTGATGAGATGGTGAAGTCTTTTGCTTAAAGCTTTTACTAGTTTGTAGGTTGGTTTTCAACATATGTAAGATTGTTTCCAGCTACTAGCTGAGGAATGCAATTCCTGTCGTTCCATACTTCTACTGTGTAAATAGATTTCAGTCAGATAGCAGAACAGCGTCCTTATATTATAAATATGACACTTCATCGAGCCAGCAGGTTATTATAAGATAGACTTGCAATCAACAAGAGAACCAATCAGCTGCTCAGAATTTAAATATAGCTCCAAATGAACAACCAATCAAACGACCAACTGACCACACTGGCATACAAGACATTTATAAGCTAAGGAGAATAGGACAAGAAAATCCTGCTGATGATGTTACCTAGATGTTACCTGGTGGAAATGCCAGCATTTGCTAATGTTTTCCCCTCCTGAAGGACTGAAACAGATATTAATTACTGATTTTGCCAGATTTGAGCTCCTTTTCTCCAGCATGTGGGAGGGCTGGAGGAATGAACCTCAAATCTAACATCCCCACCACTTGCAAACTTTCCTGATGGAGTCTCCATTGATTTTTTGGAAAAATGAGAAAAGATTGCACATGGATCACAGGACATTTGGCAACTGGTCATAAATGCCCAAACTGCAGTATGTTGTTTTATAATGGCTGGAAGTGCTTTATGGGCTGTAAAGCTCCTGTTTCAAGGTTGTGATGATTGTGAACTGTCAGTTAAACTACAGATCGTAAATTGAGCATTACCTATAATTTACCACTTCCTGGACCCAACCACATCATGTCCCCAGAGGGACATAGATCTAATATACTGATGGCTGTCCTGGGTCTGCCTATTTGCTCATGACCAACAAGCTCAAACTCCTGCCTGGTAACCAAGTTGGACCATACCTCTGTCAGCTCCACAGGAACTGCCCGTCCAGAGTTGAGATCAGAACAGATCTGAACCACTTTATCTGTAAAATGTTTCAAATATTCCTCATAGTAATTTTGCATATGTTCCTCTGGCCTCTCCTTTTAGTCAAATTGTGTGTCACAATATTGGTGAGCAAGATGGTGAAAGCATCAGGTTCCCACTTTAGACATGAAAGCTGGCTGGGTGACTTTGGGCCAGTCACTTTTTCTCAGCCAACTAACATCATATGGTTATTGATTGTAGGGAAGATAGGAGGAAGGAATAGTATTTAATAGATTTTGCCCCTTGAGTTATTTATATAAATAATACATATGAAATATAAATAAACAGATTAAGAGATTGGAATCATAGGCCAGGCCTGGCATATCTAAAACTTCAGATTTAGTATTTGGCATTTCTATTTTAAATATTCAGGGATCAGGACTAACAAAGACATTTGCTTGACATAATTCAAAGGTTCAATCAATTTTAAAAGTTCTTACTAATGAATTGTATTGTAATAAAGGAGAAACAAGCATTCTTTATGGTTCCAGAAAAATCTTTAACGTAAAAGACTGGAACATTTTCTGAGTTTCCTCTTTCATTTGATTATTTTAGGCCCAGATTGAAAAATGTGGATCGAAGTAGTGCTCAACATTTGGAAGTTACTGTTGGTGATCTGACAGTCATTATTACAGACTTTAAGGAAAAAACTAAGTCATCGCCTGCTTCAAGTGCAGCTTCTGCAGACCAGCACAGTCAGAGTGGTTCTAGTTCTGACAATACAGAGAGAGGAATGTCCAGGTCATCTTCACCTAGAGGAGAAGCCTCGTCACTGAATGGAGAATCTCATTAAAGTTTATTGACTTCCGTTTATTATTTAGTTGTTCCTCTCAAAAAATTACATATATACAACTTCTGCCAACAGTTACCACATTTTCATGACTTCTTATCATTGTGCATGATTATGTTTACTCAAATATAATTTATGCAGTTTTTACAAGCAGTGCTGCAGTGCAATTAAATTGCATTGCAATCTACAAAACATTTTTAGATCAACTTTTTAATCTTGATATAGAATGGTGCCATGAAAATGTGGTTTGAATGTTCTTCATGCAGTGTTACTGGCAAGTCCTTTTCCTCTTTTACTTTAGTAAATTTTAACAGAAGTCTTGGATTCTATGCTATTGGCATGTACTGAATGAATTTAAAAAATAGTTCAAGCTGCCTAAATATGTATTATTTGAGAATTGTGAATCATAGTTATATATGTATGTAAGTCAAAGATCAACTTAATCAACTATTGCTGCAAAAGACTTTTCGTAATGATTATCTTTAAAACACCTGCTGGTACTTGGTGTGCTTGAATAGGAAAATGTTATTAAATATAACGTATGAATTTTTGCCAATGTCCAACAAATTTTACTGGATTATTGTAACTGAATAATGTTGCTAGCTTCTCCAATATTTTCCTCACACATTTAGAACATTTATTGTTAATGTTTACAAGCAAAAAAGTAAATCTGTTACAAACATTAATTGTTTAGCTTTATAATTCAAATATAGTACTGCCTTGTCCTTATACACTGGTATTCTGTTATAGAACATAAATTTATTCTGAAATTATTAGTCATTTTGTTTTTTTAATTCTACGTATATCTTAAAACTATTACTGATAACTTTAAAATCACAAACATGGTGCCATCATAATTGATATTTTTTACTTACTTTCTCCGAGATTTACTGTGTCGTAGTGATATATCTGTTCAGCAGAAGGCTGTGATCCAAAGAGGCTTTTAAGTTTGTGTACGAGTTTAGTAGTTTATTTATTTATTTTTTTAGCCATAGTTCTTTGCACCGCACCAGAGAGCATTCCCAAATATCTCCCAAGATTGAAAATGGGTAGTGAAGGGGACTGCAGTTGGAGGAGGTGAACTTTAAAAGCAATGGTGCCTGTGTACGGGTGTGCGCGTATGGGTGTGAAAAGAATCTCTGCAGCCTTTAGGATTCAGGCCAGTGATATTAAATGTTGCATCACAGTAAATAAGTAAGCAAATGCTGTTTGTTTTACATTTGTTCCTGTATCAGCCTTTTGCATTTTTTTGAAATAATTTTTATTAAATAATATAGAGTAAATCACAGTTCTTTGTTTTTGATATACTGGACATTTATGCATTTAGCAATATACAATACAGAACAAAAGGATTTACAGTCCCATTCAGTATTATGTAAACTTTCCAATAAAATATTTTTATGAGTATAGGTTTTGAAATTTTGTTTACAATCAGTTAAATGTTTTAATGTACAAATTAATGATTAACTCTCTCACCTGTACTGTAGAATTAGAAATATAGTGGGAGAGAGATGATTTATAACTTCTAAGGGTGTTTTTATATATGATTGTCCATTTAAATGAAGGACATTTACTGATCAGAATGTAAACCCAATCTAATTTACTAAGGCAATGAATTAGCAATTCAGAACTTATACGTTATAATTGACAGCACAAAAGTCTATGCATTTCTACTCAGAAATGTCTCACTGAGTTCATAGTTTATAGCACTACAGCAATCAGCGCAATCCTTGCATTTTTACTCAGCAGCGCAAACTTGAGTGGGAGGGAGGTTCATGGCACGTGTACAATGTCATCCCAATAATATCTTGCTGCTTATTTGTGTCACATAATCAGGTCACAAAGTACGTAATAGTAACTTTTGTATGATGACATCATCAACCATATTATTTTGGTATCTTCATATGCAGCTGGGCCTGAGGCTATTTCCTTAGGGCAGGGGTGTCAAACTTATGTCATGTTGTTATCATGATATTATGTGACTTTTTCCCACTTCACTAAACCGGGGGTAGGCGTGGCCAGCATGTGACGCATCCGGCCCATGGGCTGTGAGTTTAACACCCCTGCCCTAGGGAATGATTAGGTACTGTGTTGTTTGGAATTTACTTCCAAACAAACATGCATAGCATCAAATTGCACAGAGTAAATAGTAGTAGTAGAAGCATTCTAATTCATTTTTCAAAATTTATTGTATTTTTCTGTTGCTTGGACCAGTTACCAATATTACCAACATTTTTGTACCCACAAACATCTTCATGAAAATATCCTTCAGACTCAGAGTGACTTAAAAATGAAGGTTCTCATAATGATGGATCTTAAAATAATAAACTAGAACAGAAAGTCTAGTCAATTTATATATTTGTAGTTTCTGTGTTAGATTAATCTTATGCACACTTACTTGGATAGATCCCACTGAATTCAGTGAAACTTAACTCTGGGAAAATATATATAGGATCAGGCTGTTAATATTATTTGTTTTGGTAAAAAGTCCAGTTGCCTGTTGTTGAAGAGAGCACTTCACATAATAGTTAGGAATTAACTTTTTTTTCACTTAAAATATTTATTTTGTGAACTATGAAAAATTACATAGGTTATTTGGTAATAATTCTAACCAAAAATATTAAATATATATAGTGACAGCCTTTCAGCTAGAATTGAATTTTGTAGCCCTGTGATGTTTGCTGGTCTCTTGCAGTAATGTATTTTTCTGTTTTTAACTCCGGTACTTCTACAGGCACAATGGTACTGTCAATTTTGTACAATGTTAAATGTGAAATACAGTTAGTTGCATAAAATGAAAGTCTGATGTGATATGTAAAACTTGAATATGTCCTTTCTTACTTTTGCTGTCTAATAAGTTAACATTAACTGTTCTCCTAAATGAATAAGAACTGAAAAGGCTGAAATTGGGGTGTTTATTTTATTTTATTTTATTTATTTATTTATCTCATTTTTGAACCACTCATCTCCCTCACAGACTACTTTTATGTTACAAAATACTGCTTGGTCTTTTATTAGTTTCTAAACAGAGTTTATTTCTTGAAGTCTTACTGGGGAACAATGCAATTAATTTCTCTGTAACCTTTAATATTTTTTTCCAATTTTAAAAATAAATTTCTTTAGGTAATTTCCCAATAAATAAACAACATAAATGTGGCTATTCACTTAGGGGGTAACTGAAATCTACAAGTGCTATAACTACATAATTGGCATATCTAGTTATTCATTTTGTCACTACTATTTAGGAAGCTATTTAGATACTCAGTTAGTCCATATGATTCAGTCATTATGACAGTGACTGCAGTAACTCTAGTGTTGCTAGCTCAGCTTGTGGATGGCAGGAACTAGATTCTTTCATGCAAAATATCTTTCAAAACTAAATTCTACATAATTTCTTTACAATAATCCATCTTTAGAGTATTTTGTAATATCCAATTTTGTAATTGTAATAATGTCATATCTTTATAAATGGATATAAATACATTTTATTTATAAATGTAACATATTACATTAATTTAATAACCTATTAAGACATATGACATCAATATCAAATTAAGCTTGAAAGTGATCATGAATATCAGGCATGCTTTTTTCATTAGAAGCAGAATACAATCCTACTTACTTACCACCAATGAGTTATTATTATAGAAGCACTGGGTTGCTGTTTTATTACAGAAATGTATATGCTATCTAATTTATTACACTTTTGACTTAGGTAGAGAAAAATAAATTACTCTTAACATATCTCAAATATCGGCTCTAAATAATTAAAACCTTATGCAAACAGTAGAATAGTTCTGTTTTTGTTGTTCTAAAAGGTAAGGGAGTGACCAACCTGACTCGGGGAGAGACATCATGTAATGACAGCTGCTACAGCAAAGGTTGAGTTCCTGTCCCATTGAATGAGTTATTATAAAAGACTCTTGCTCTCCATGTAGCCCAAGATACACACGTTCCAAAATGCCTTCAGAATAACATTTGAAAAGACGGAGGAGAGGCGGCATTGCTTCCCTCCTGGTTGCAGAATCCCTAGATTTCCCTTCAGCTCTAGGACGACAGGTAGGATATTAATCTAACAAACATTTCATTCTGTATCCTGTGTATTCAGATTTCATGACCCAGTTACAGCAGTTCTGAAAAAAAAAATGACTTACGGCTAGTCCTCACACTGAACAATTATCCCACCCTTAGGAAGGAAACAATGGCAAATCGCTTCCAAAATCTGTCCAAGAAAACTGCAGTGCCTAGTTCACGCAGTCACCAGAAGCCAACACTTAATTCAAAGGAATTAAAAATCAGTGAATTATCTAGAATTATTATTTCAAGATCTAAAGAATCTTATTATTAGAAATTAGTATATTTTAAATGATTAACTGATGTGGTAAGTGCTGAGAGTTATAAATCACTAATAAAATTGAAACATTTTGCTGTATCAAAAAAAGTGAATATAACTGAGTCCATTTACTATATTAACTTTTCCTTAAGAAATACCTCAATTTCCTTTTTTAAATAAAAATTTCTTCCAAATAAATTAGGACTTTCTTTGTTAAATTCAATTATATATAGTCTATCAAAACAGTTTGTAATATTTTACAAAAAATATTCTGATATTTGTAGCAAACAAGGGAAGGGTTTTTTTTTTTTTGCTCATAAATGTTGAATTACTTTTTTTAAAAAAATATTCTTAAATGAATCAGGAGACAAAAATAGAATGTCAGAATAAAAAAAGAGAATTTCTTGCTGTAGAACAGGGCTGTCAAACTCCCAGCCTGTGGGCCGGATGCGTCACATGCTAGCCACGCCCACACCCAGTTTAGTGGAGAAAAAAGTCCCGTTACATCACGTGACACTGCCGTGATGACGTGAGTTTGACACCCCTGCTGTAGGAAATACCATCTGTAAAATTTTTATTCTGATGGTTAACAGGATACTTTCTCTACTCAATCATGGAGAACATTGATTTTTATTACCTATAAGGCTAATATATCTGATTTTATTCTAAAATAAACCTATGATGTTATGAAAGGATCATAATTCATTAATTAAACAGTAATTACAAAATTAAATTTGGTTCTTTGACATATATTTGATGAAGACTTCATCCTATCGTTAAACAGGTTTCCTTTTTGTCTGTTGAAACTGCTCCCACTCAGCAGGTGGCTTGTCAACTGTCAATTTGTCCACTCCCAAAGCCACCCAGCAATTGGTGAACTTCATCAGACATCAGTAAGTTTTTGAAGGCTTTTACCATACAACACAGCTTTCAAAGGAACAGAATGAAGAAAATGGTTTTATGATTCCTCTATAATTAGCTCTGACTAATTGCTCAGCATGTCAGTCTGATGAAATGATGCAATTCTGTTTTTTTTTTTTTGAAAATAGAGTAATTGGTTTCTTTTGGAAGAGTATTCCTTTAGATGAATAAAGTCCAGTTTCTTCTTGAAAGCTTCCAGTGATAAAGCTTCCACAACTTCTGAAGGCAAGCTATTCCATTGGTTGATTGTTCTGTCAGAAAAATTCTCCTTATGCATTTCTAAAACAAAGTTATTTTATGGAATATCCAGTTATCAGTTGATCTTGTATTCTGACAACACATAGTTTTTCATTATTACACAGAGAAAAAGAGTTGCTTGTACAACAGGGTCATGGTCAACATATTTCAGAGACAGATGTTGATTGTAATCAGTTAATCACCCTCTCCTTTCAAGTTTACTGTATTACAATGTTCAAAAGAGGTTGCAGCTTTCTACTTACCAGTTCTTGTAATGCCAAGGAATCCAGTTTATGTAGGTGCCTTCCTTCGAAGGATTAAAGGTTCTCAAGCAAATTATTAATTGACAAAAAATAATTCAAGATATTGTGGTTTATCATAAAAAAATAAAACAGCCATCCAGAGATGTTGGCCTCATACTGTACTGTATTTTACTGCTTTTTGTTAACTTTCTGTTTTTATCTTCCAGATAGACTTATACGTTGGCAGAAGAGCATCTTGATAAAAAATAAGTTTCTTCACAATTTTGTTTGGAGCTATTTTTATTATTACATTATGCACGAGAACCTAAAAATGCCACATCATAGGATAGTGGACCTATTTAGACGGGAAGTCCCATTTTAAGAGTATGGCATGTTGTTTTTTTTTGCATGCAGTTGAATCTAAAGTCAATGTTTGCTACCTGGGAAGAAGAAAAAAAATAAATAACCCGCCCTGAAATTCTAGAGCAGGGGTGTCCAACCTTGGCCACTTTTAAGACTTGTGGACTTCAACTCCCAGAATTCCTCAGCCAGCGAGCAGGGGTGTCCAACCTTGGCTGCTTTAAGACTTGTGGACTTCAACTCCCA